GCCCATAATGGTTAAGTTAATTAATACCGGTACCGTGTCTGCATTGTTATACCAGACAAAAATCATGGTAGTTGTGGGCGTGCATATGCTTACTGCCACCATGAGAGCCTTCATCTGATGTCAGTTTTTTGTAGCAGTTTTAATGCACCTTGGCTTGGATTTTAGTCCACATTTTAGAGCAAGTAAAAGAACTCCAGTACTTCTTTTCATAGAGGATTTCACTCCCTTAGCAATAATAATAATGAATAATAATATTTATTGTTTAACACAAATTTCATCATAAAACAGATCTCAACAGGCTGTATATTGATAAAACAAGCAAATACTATGACCTTAAGACTAAAATAATATTACCTACAAATTATACAGTAAAAAGCAAAAATAAGACGCTGGACCCAACACCCCTAAAAGAAAAATAAATATATGCCCCCCTTTAAGGTAAAGTAAGCCAGAAGAGAAACAGTGGCATAAATGGGGTACTCTCTGCCGGGAGGTACTGGGGGAGGGTCATTTTCTGAGGGGGGTATTCACTGGGTTCGGTCAGAGTTAAAACACTGACTGTTAGCAGGCTTAGCAGGCTTTTCTTCCTTAATTACCCTGGGACGCGGTACGATTTTTGTTTACGCGGTCTCGGGAGCGGTCTCGCCAGGTGAGTCCATATCGTTTCTCAGGGTTTCAGAGCCCAGAGTCCGTCCTAAAGGTATATAAATGCTTCAGTGGTTGTCCACTAGCCTCTACAGCTCTTAAAAACCACCAAAAGTACATCACAGTACCGGGGGGGGGTGGGTTCCCAGGCTATCTTGATTTGAGAGGGGAGGGGGCCTCGCTACGCGCCAGCCAAGCCACACCACCACCACAACACCCCCCTTCAACCAAAATAACACTTCAAAGACAGCCGAAAGAGGCCTCTGTCAAGTTCCAAAAAGCTGTCACTGATAAACATTCCAGTCTGCCCCAGGCACTGTTTTGTAAATAATCCATTAGATTGTACACAAGGGTCCACTTAGCACACAGTCCTCTGGGAATTGGCTGGAAGCCGGCTGGATTTTTAAATTTTCTTTCTGGCTAGGGGAGGCCCTGGCTGTAAAGTGACTTAACCAGGTTTTTCAGCATTTACAAGGGTAGGATATGATAAATAGTCGTTGCATTTGGACGAAAAAAAATTACACGTTAATTAGCTCCAATGAACTCGCCAAAAGAGGCCACTCACTCTGCGCAGGGTATGAGAGGAGATGGCACACACGGGATCACAGGTCTGGAGCGGGGGCCTTGCCCCTTCCTCGTAGTTACACCACTACAGAGGTGAGAACAGCAGCAAAGCTTAAATCAATCCCTGCGTGGATCAAGACGATCGGAAATCTTTTTAAATTTTTCTCTCGTGATCAGGTCCCTGCTCAAATAGCAGTCATGGATGCCAACAATTGTGTCTTCCCGCCCCATTGCCGTCGGACTTCGTATGCGACTGCGCAATTGGCTACACCTTGGGAGAAGATGGCTCCTCATGCACTTCCGGTATGGCTTCACAATAAAAAGTTTGGACTTAAAATTAAAAGTTGACGTCGATACAGGAAATGTCTACTAGGCACTGTAGGTCACTTTTTGTGATTCTCTACAAAACAGTTAGGGAATCGTGCATTTTCTGTTTAGTCTTCAAGAGGTTAAAATACAGTGACTTCACTGTAGGTGATCGTCATGGTGGAACGTTGTGAAAACTACTTTGAATACCATGGAAAGTGAAGTTCTGGTTAAAAAATTGTCGATGATGATCAATCATTTCGGGGAACTTTCGACCATCTTTGAAATTTGTATTCCTTTTACATGCACCAAGTATTGGTGAGGCCATGTACTGAGAAATGTAAAAAACACCTTCTCTTCTTATTTTTGTCTTGAGTTTTTATTACCTTGAGTACTTGCTAAATTTTACGTCTTATAACTGAATGTGACATCGTCAAATACCTTAATGTTATTATTTTGCCATCTTATCCGCAACCCGTTTCTATTTCAGATTTAGTGAAGGACAACTTCATTCTTGTGACCGACACTGTCCTCCACGGAATCTACCAAGTTGACCTTTCGACCCCTGACCCCACCCTCCAAGCCCTCCCGTTGACCAACGTCTCGAACCCGCTGTCGGTCGGCTATGACCCCTTGCTGGGAATGGTGTACTGGAGTGACGTCACAAAAGGGACCATAAGTAGAGCGTCCCTTGCCGGTGGTAACCAAGAAGTCATTGTTACCTCAAATCATGGAGAAGGTAATTCAACTAGGCCTATTATAGGAGTAAATTTGGTGTCTCCCTTGCATTAAATCTATTAAAAACAGTAATTCTCTTTGACGTAGGGCATAAGGCCAATTCTACCTTAAGGCAGATCCAAGTGAAATTCATTCAAAACGAAAATATCACAGAAACCAAAGTTTTATGTTTCTTTTCAAACTCCCCTGTCATGCAGCTTTACTAATAGGCGCCCTTGACCTTTTGCATTCTTGTTCTTATTATGCAACCTGTATATCCACGTAGTTCCATCTTACGGATTTGATTTGTTAAAAATGCACATATAAATTGCATTCCAAAAGAGTTTTCCTAATTTTACATTTTACTAAACTTGGTATTTGTTTATATTCTACAGTTTATCGCACAACAATTATGATGATTACGTTTCCTTTCCTTCACAGCTCCTTATTCCATAGTGGTAGACTCCCGACTTCTTTTCTGGACGGACGTTGAATCCAACAGTATTAAGGTGTGTCGTCTGGACGGCGCGTACCAGATGACGCTTGTGAACACATCTGCGAGTCCTCGAGCTCTTACTACATTTGCAAATGAGGGGTGCGTTTTCAGAGGGACTGTTTTATTGTTTTTAACGAATGTGTGAATATGCGTTTGCAAAGTAGATCATCAGATAGGGGACTAGTTTATGACCTAGAAGTACACCGGGTGTTCAGCCTGTGTGTTTACCACACAAAACTTGCCAGGAAAACCTGAAGGATTTAAAGTCGTTTTACTTTACCATGAAGGCATGTGGTTTGCTCGGGCATTTTACTTCTCCGATTGCGCTTTCTTTGTATTTCTACTGGGAGAAATAGCGACACAAAAGGCGTTTGTTGGCCTGAAACGGAACCACTGAAAGTGATAATGAACCGATATAATTATGCGAAGTCACTTTGCATTAAAGCAATCACTGACAAATAAGTCTGTTGAAAATGGAAACAAATATTATTTTTATAATAGCGTTATAGAACAAAGATCAATGTTTATAATCGTGTATCTTCATATCTGAATATTGCTTTCTTTGTTGTTTTGCAAGACTGCTTTTCTGGACATGGTGGGGTGAAGATAGCGCTGGTATTAGCAAATCATCGATGGACGGACGTAACGTGGAGGTCTTACTATCGAACAATGGAGGTTTTCTGCACGGTCTTGCTGTCGACGCCCTTGGTATGTAGATAGTCTTTTGTGTATTACTTAGCATGGGTTAACTTTCTCCGAACATGACACGTCACTTGTTGCCTTTTTAGTTATGTTTCATCTTCAACAGTGGCACACTGCTTGGGCGGATCCAGGGCGGCGTGGGGGCGCACGCCTCCCCCCTTTCATAAAAAAGATCAATAAATAGAAAATAATTAAAAGAGGGAGGGAGAAGAAAAGAGAGGGGTCTTACTGCCTGAAATTGCACCACAGAGCGCCAAAAGCCAAAATAGCCCTGGATCCCACGCCGTACGTGCTACGCGCTCGCGGCAATTTTACCAATGCTGCTTTAGTTCACGCCCCCCCCTTTTGGAAAATCCTGGATCTGCCCCTACACTGTACATGTTTTTTTACCTTTGCTGTTTCATGTCGGGTATTTACAGCGTAATTAGATGTGGCGCATCAGAATCTTCGTTGATCGGTTGCACCGAACGCTATTAAAACAGAGGTAGCATTCGTAGTGACGTAAGCTGTAGCCAAACTGTGTGGTTGTATTTTACATGTAGCCTCAATATTCGCGCTATCGTGAAGGTTTCTAATTAGAAAAAAAATCTAAAACAATTATTTCCTTCATAGAGATGAAATGCACTTAATTCTGGCGGCCTGCCAAAGTTGTAATCCAAGAAAAACTTTGGCAGTACATCAGAAAATTTTTATAGTGTTGTCAAAGAACCTCAAATCTTCGTTGTTACTAGTTTATAGATGAGGCACTAGGTGAAAAACAAGGGCGAAACTGATAGATGTTGTTTGTTTCTTGAGGAACAAAGAAGCAGAAGATTAAGACGGTTTTTCCTCTAGACAGTAATGAGTTTCAGTCTAAAAAATATTATTGCATAAATGTAAGGCATACACTGCATCAAATATTTTGATTAATGCAGTTGAATCACCAAAAAGAACGGTTGAAACATAAACTGAAGACTATCAAGGGCAATTTCGTACTGGAAAGTGTAGATTTTACCATGCTCATGTTTTATTCATAAATCTACATTCTTTAAAATGATTATGGAAATCAAAACTTGAATTACTAAAATTCAAATGACAAACAAAGTTAGTTGTATTGCTCTATGCATAAAAATAATTGACTAAACGAAACACAGAATTGCGCCGAAAAAGAGTAGTGGTTTATTAAGTTTACATATTTATATCATAAACAGCACCAGTCGTGTATCCGAAGTGTATATACGATCATGTGGCAATTTATTTATACCTTTTGCCTTGAAACCAGCTAGATACACGAAAAAAGTAACGATTTGGTTGTTACGTTTTGAGTGCTGATGTATTTCAGAGAGGCGCTTGTACTGGACCGATGCCGATGTTCACACGATCGAGTCCATAGATCTAGACACCGGGAGCGACCGGCAGACCACCCCCCTGGGCTTCGCCTCACGACCCTTCGGCCTGGCCGTCGAGGTGTCCCACATCTTATGGACCGACCAGGGCTCCCGGAGGCTGATGAGAGCGGACAGGGCCACTGGAACGAACGTAGAAATCGTCGGCAGTCTTGACCTAGCGAGGCCTAACGGCATGCACTGTCAGGCACGGAGTTCAAACAGCGTCGGTGAGAGGCAGTGAAAATGCTGTGGAGAGTTGCACTTGGTGACCAAATTGTGCTCTTCCGAATATAAAGATTTGTTTCAAAGCGCGCCTTTAAAATAAAAAGTAACGACAATTTTTTCGTGTAATTCACTTATTAACATGTAGTGGAAAAGTAGGTTTAATTAAAGTCGCGTAGGATATCAGTACCCAGAATTGTTTCTACTGCGACATGAGCGCACGGACGTATATCAAAAACAAAATCTGGACTTGTAATGCCCCTAATCAGCTTATAAAGATCATTGAATCCACTAGCGGCCATTTTACCGAGCCGAATACAAACACCCTCGCATTTGTACTCGGCTCGGTAAAATGGCCGCTGGTTGGTTTCTATTTCATACAAAGACGTTGCAAGTCTAGGTTTTTTATATATCTCCGTACATGAGCGTTTCAATTGCTGGAACTAAAATGGTGGATTATGCGTCATTGCAAATTGACAATTAGTACGCAATATACAGTAGCTGCATGCTGTAATGAACACAAAGTGAACAGCCATTTTGGTTCCAAAGTCTGAAGTTGGCGCTACTACTGGTGTTACAACCTATCCCACGGTAACAGTCTGGAGGATATATAAATGTGAGGTTTAGCCCTCTTTTTCTGCTGATCATATATGAATTGCCATATGTCCATCTGATGTATACAAGTACTGTGTGGTTTTATTAGACAACCTGTAACGAGGAGAAAGTGCAACGTTGTGTTTGTGTTTGAAACTGGTTGAAAAAGCCTTTACGATAATTTAACCGAAGTCCTCCCTGGTATTTTGGGTATAGTGAACAATGGTTGCTCCTTGAGTAATGGAGGTTGCAGCGGACTGTGTCTGCCGACACCCACTGGTCGAACCTGCGCGTGTGCAGATGGTGTCGCTGCAGACGAGGACGGGTCTTGCCCTTTTGGTGAGTCTCTTCCGGTTGCGATGTTCAAATTTCCATTTCGAGAGAAAAATGAAAGGTGCATACTTAAAAAAAAACTGACTCGACTTCAGTGTCGAACAGCATGAAACACGAAGAACACTGTTCAAAGAAACGGTGTATGATACAGGTGAACATTGTATATCGTGATCAAACCGTGATCAAACTATTTGATAAACAAAAGGCCGATTACTGGTGGGTTAAAAATGAACATTTAGCGAAGATGTGCAAATATCAGATTGACATGTTCGGCGTATGCAGCCGTAGGAATAACTTTTGATTGCCCGCCTGTCAGTTTGTGGCAAAGGCTATTTAGCCGTAAAATAAAATTTGGTATGTTCAAATTACAGTAGCCTGACAAAATGGAAATTCAGTAGCCCAATAAAGGAGAGATGCACTCATTATTTTGTAGGTGAAGAGGATAAATCGGTAGACAAGGTCACTCAGCTGGAATTCATCAATCGCCCACATGACCTCACTCTCGAAGTAGGCATGGAGATCAACCAGATGTGTAGCAGCAATCAGCCGTCGGCCAGTGTAAAATGGCAAAAGGATTTTATGCCATTGCCGCTTGGTAAGTACAAGCGCTGATAAGAATTCATTTACCAAAAAACAACAGTTTTTGATTCATTTTATTTGGGAAAAGAATGTAACTTGGTTGCAAAAACAGTTTTGCAAGGACACACACCTCGAACATGTAAAGTATAAGGGTGCTTCGCCAGCCGTATGATCTATAAGATAAAAGACTTGGAGTTTAGTGAAATAAAAAAAATTGTCAAACCATCATTTACATTGACTGTCCTGTTAGTTTGCTCTTACGCTACATTTCATCTTTTAACCCTTTTCAGGTCAAACTGGCGGTATCTATGTGTTATCGGATGGCGCGTTGGTGATTCTGGATGTTGACGAAACCCACCGTGGCTTTTACACCTGTACTATAACGGGAACCACCGGTGACGTCATCGAAGCGTCAGCTGAATTCCGTAAGTCTTGGTATTTGACCTAGAATCGCAAGTGGCCGGTCCGGGTTGTAATTCTATCTGGGTCTACGTTCACCACCTATTATAAAGTCAAACACTGCGGCATCAAACAGTCATTGGTAGCAGTAATAGCCGTCACCGGACCTCTGCTCGGGATCTTTGCCCCCTTCCCCGCCATAATTTGGAGAGGACGAGTTCTTTGTGTTGTTTTAAATTCACTGAGACTGGCACCCGCTATTTGTTTTGAACATATAAGGCTGGATGGTACATGGCGTAGATGGTGGCAAAACAGTTGACAATTTGCCTGAAAGGATTAAAGCCATAGACTCCATTGAATTTAGCAGTCTTCTATAATTGCGTCTCAGAATTCAGTCCACAAGAAGTGTTCGAGATGACCCCTGAACTGGCCGTGATTCAGGAGGGGGAGGACTATATCTTAACGTGTTCTGCACGGCCGGCCTCCTACGTCATCCGCTGGGAGAAGGACGGAGCGCCGGTGCAGCTGTCGGACATGGTTCACGTGATCTCTGGGGATAGCCTGATCATTCGGGAGGCAGTCGTTTCTGACAGTGGGAAGTACACGTGTATCGCCCAGACGCTGGGCGGCGTGCGGGTGGCCGAGGTCACGGCCCGGGTCACGGTGACTGCACAGCAGGCCGTGCAGGAAGGTTGGTCACATCCCTAACACTCCAACCTTAAAATGATAAAGGCTCGTCGTTGATCAGTAAGGTAGCATATTGCCCATTGTTTGTGAGAGCAAAACTACCCATGCTAACACTCATATCTCCGTTGTAAGTTTTCTTTGTGAGTCTGTTCTTTTCAGAACCATACACACAAAGACATCGTATCCTTGCATGGTGCTACCGCAAGCTTGTCACCACGAATAGCGTGAAATCCGACCTGTTGTAAATTTTGTTAATTTCAACAGGAATTAACCAATGATCAAGGTAGTCTTACATCAAGCGTCTGTACGCATATAACATTGCCAATTGTTTTTTATTCAGCGAAGGTCTAAGTGATTTGGCGGAGGCCAACATTGGTAATCTGGGTCCATTTGAGGCAAATTACCCATGGCATCAAAAAAGTTAAGGTATTTAAGTACGCTGATGGATTACAAAGGCTCCAGATCAACAACTCAGATTATCTATTTAAGTCATATTTGGTGTCCAAGTAAAGCAAGATGTAACATCTCCGTGGTTGAAATATACAATCTTATATTCTTTCGTTTGCAGTTTGTGGCACAGTAACATCACCCGAGGCATTGGGTCTATCAGAGGTTGGCTCTGAAGGAGCTGAAGAGGAGGAAGACCGGACCTTCCGGATTGTGGGAGGCACCACCGCTAAGCGAGGCTCCTCCCCTTGGATTGTCCGTTTATGGGTGAATGAGGACCGCACGCACTTCTGTGGCGGTGCCCTTCTCAATCGCTACTGGGTCCTGACGGGCGCCCACTGCATCACGGAGTACTCGCTGGGTCGGGAGGACATCAAGATCCGGTTGGGCGACCACGACTCTTACTCGGACGAGGGGAGCGAGCGCTTAGTGGGCGTCCAGCACATCAAGGTGCACGACGAGTTCGTAGACAGCGACTACGACGGCGACCTGGCCCTGGTCAAGCTGGCCGAGCCCGTGGAGCGGTTCACCGACTACCTGCGGCCACTGTGTCTGCCCAGCAAGGCGCTGGCACGGGAGCTGCTCAAGCCGGGTCGCAAGGGGAAGGTGGCGGGCTGGGGCCGGCTGGTTGAGGGTGGGCCGTTCCCGCGCTATCTGACCGAGGTGGACGTGCCAATCGTCGGCCAGCAGAAGTGTATCAGATCCACCACGTATCTCGTCACCGAGAGGATGTTCTGTGCTGGCTACAAGAAAAAGAAGGGTGACGCATGCAGGGGTGACAGCGGGGGGCCCTTCTCGATTGAGCACGAGGGGAGATGGTATCAGTTGGGTATTGTTAGCTGGGGCGAGGGGTGTGGGCGAGAAGGAAAGTATGGCTTCTATACCCGGCTTGTTAAATTCCTTCAGTGGATTAACCAATACATGGAGGAGCATTAGACGCTGATCGTTGTTTTCATGCTTATTTAAGTTTATATTATCAGTAGACGTAACCATGTTTAGTACTCGTTTTATCAAGTCCAAAATTATGTACTTTGTTTCTGCAATTTTCTTATAAACTGCGAAAGAAGTGGTCAGCACCATTGAGAAAACAGCTTGAAATTTTATTTTTTTCTTTTAAATTCCTAATGTCATTCGATAAAGACAGGAACCCTACCAAGACATTAATTTACTTAGGATAGAGATCATTGGAGGTCATGAGCAACATTATGTTTATCTCACTACTTTATTCATCCAAGTGCGCTAATGTTAAAAAGACTTTCGATGTGACTTTTGTGCACCTCTGCGATTATGCGCATTGTGAATTTTATGCAGTTAACAAGGCATTATTATAAATGCAAATAAGTGTTAGGTAATGCAAGAATTCTTTCTAATAACAAGGCATTAAAATTGTGATGGACCAGTTTTCTGCGAGTACGTTAAAAATCGGATATTGTCAGGGGACGATTATCGTCCCCAGACAATATCCGAGGTTTACTTTCGTCGCCAGACCCCTATTGCGCATGCTTGTGAGTATATTTATGAATGTTGCTTTATACCCGTGTATTGTTGAATAAATTGCATGTCCACCGCCGCCAACTCGGTTGTCAGTGTATCTTGTTACAGGTCGGTCGAGTTATGAAAAAAGAGTTGACAATTAATCATAATGGAGGGCAAATTGCCACCGAAACGGAACAGCACGTGGCGTGTTTTCAATGCGCTTCTTTCTTGTACCTGCATGCGTAAACTTTAATACCGAGAATGTCCAGCACATCCATCGGTACTGGGTTGGTGAGGGGACAGTTGCCCCCTGGAGACATGTTACGAATGTTGTTTAATTAAAACGTTGTTTAATTATTTAGTTTACGAACTGAAAGCCCAGCTTGTTCAATACGGCACTGTTTAATCTTGGCGGGGAGGGTGAAGGTTAAAAAGCAAATGAGCTCTTTCACACGTGTTACCAGTGCTCTTGCTGTTCGTGTTCATAAAGGTACGGAGAGTGTCCGGTGATGTATTCTAAATTAAAAACGTATTTTAGGAATCAAATGCGTTACCTTTGTTGGCGAAAATAAAGCATTTTCGCAAACACTGCGCAAATGTTTGGTTTGATAATACCAACCTCTTAAAGAAAATTAAAACAATTGTGTTAAAAATTGTGAAAAGGAACACGCACTCACAATCAAGTCTTATTTCCTTTCAAATTCGCCACCCGGGGAATTCTAGGATGTTTGAATGTGAGCTCTAAGTACATGCAATCTGCAGATTCATTTGTGCACATTATGCATGTGGGACAGTAACGGTTAAACGGTTTCCGTTCGGTGTATCTCCATATTTTTACAAAACCCTGTTTCAATATACGCTTGAAGCAAATGGACGTCGCCACAATTTTCGGGGGGGGGGGCAGCACTCTTTTCCGGGGGAATATTGTCCAAGGGGGGAGGCAGAGCACTCATAAGCAACGAGCTGAAGAATTCAATTTTTGAGGTTTGCTTCTTACAGGAAATTAGTGGTTTTCAGCCTCAATCTTCTCTTTTTTTCATTTCTTTCTCCTTGTTCCCCCCTCCGTTTTGATTTATTATTTTTTTCTGGAGGGGTTGACCCTTGGCCCCCAGCGACGCCCATGGTAAATTACATCTGGTTTTCTCCCCAGTAACAAGGTCCGATAAAAGGAATCCGAGTACAGTGACAGTCGAGGCACCACCCGAACACGTTGCACTGAGCCCCAGGAAACCTCAACCGGACGGTTACTTTGTCAGGTACATCCTGTTCCGCACCGACTAATGGCCGCCCCCGTCGCACGGATGAAAATGGATCTGTTCCGGTGATTCTGGTGATATCCTCTCGGACTGAGATGTCCTCAAGCAGCACTGCTCTTCCCAGCTCATCCGGTTGTTCATCATGACTACTCCGTATCGGCCGGCCCAATCATTTATCCAGCTGGGGGGGGGTTAAACTTAGTGCTTGTCCACATGCTTAATCACACTTAATGACACTATGCATCACTTCAATTCAAGCAGTTGTCACATACGCAATATGCCCCATAAATGCTAAGCTATACCATAATTGTGAATGACAGGACGTAATGTACGTTGTTGATCCTAGTGGATTAAATTCACTGACAGAGTTCTTGGGAAAACGCCTTCATCGTTATAACGTTTGATCAGTCAAGCTTGAATTGACAGTAATTGACATTGATGGGGTTATTGCTGTAAGGTAAGCAGTACAAGTTAGAGAGGCAATCATGGACATCGAAGACAAAACAGAAAGACAGAGAGTTTCACATAGATGTCCAGTTCCAATAACCGAGGGGATAATTCTGTGGATTTTGAATGCTAAACCCAGGTCCTTTACCTCGGTATATACAACCTTGTCGCCGTGAAAATGGCAGGTTAATTGGAGAACTAGTTCTCTTGGTGGCAGCGTGCTGCTTGGTAATATTTCTGACAGACGCACGATCGGTATATCGAGCACTATTTTGAGGACCCCCCCAAAAAACTTATCGCTTTATTTTCACTTTCTTTGAAATTTATTGACTTGAGTCTGCGTCATACGTCGGTCTTTTGCCTTGTCAAATGTATTTCATTTTGCTTCGGCGGGTCGCAGAAAAGAGAAACATTTCGAAGCGTGACGTCAAGCACTGAATTCAGTATAAATCAAGTTTAATTGTAAAAGACAGAACGGCGAAGAGGGAGAGATGGAAGAGTTATAGTTAAAAAAAAAATAAAAGCAGTCTGGAAACTAGATCGGCCATATTTCATATAATACGTTACTTTAGTTGGCTCCTCCAGTCCAGACAGAGAAAGGAACAGTGAAATGACTTTTCTTAGAATCTCTCGTACATTTTTAAAACTCTTCTCCAATGTATGAAAAATGCTTGAAATTTTCTGGAGTTAACTGTGAAGTGCACTCTTATAAAACATTCAAATTGACCAAGTCTTTCTGGACAAGGGAGGGTACTGTTAGTGCTACGTGCATCCAGGAAGACGCCCTTCAGTTTGCGTGTTTTTATATTCAAATGTTGAACCCCAAAGTTGCCTTTTGAAAACGTCTGAAAGGGGTTAGTATAAAAGCTAGCAATATTTTGTGCACAAATCAATGCAACGCTGACGTTCATTGCTGGTAGATTACATCACATGTTTTTTCCTGAAAATGCATTTCAAACCAAAAAGGTCCCCGTATGCATATCAAACTAGTAAATAACAATTGAAGATAAAATATTGAAACACAAAGGTGCAATTCAAGGATTCCAGTAAAAAATTTCTATTACATGCATGGTCCCTTTTAGAAACCAGTGAATACTCGCTTCAGGAAAAAAACAACAAACAAACAAACAAACANCAAACAAACAAACAACAAACAAACAAACAAACAAACAAACAAACAAACAACCAAACAAACAAACAAACAAACAAACAAACAAACAAACACCCCAACACCCCAACAAACAAACAAACAAACACCCCAACAAACAAACAAACACCCCAACAAACAAACAAATTGCCCCATTTTTCTCAAAAATATAATAACGCACAAACAGAGTTCACGGTTCTGATGAAGTTTTATTTTTAAAGGGGTTAGTTTGATGCAATTCTAGACGGATACACAACGATCCCAGAAACATTTTAAGTGTATAATGGAGGTCAAATGGGAAAGGTGGGTTATTTCTAAGGTTGTGCAGTCATAATGATTCAGAATGATATTTGTTGGTGTACTATAATATTAAACAATTGCCCTTGTCGCAGATGTACAAATAACGCATGCCATCCATGTGATGCGACAGTTGGAAATAAATCTAACCCTCGAGGACGAGGTTAATCTTTTAACGAAACAATTTTTAAAGTAATTTTCTTCAATTACGCATCTGCACATGAGTATTTCCAATCCTTCAGTGCCGTAGTAGGAATTCATTCTGAATCGACACAACGAAAGTACGACGTTTGATGCCGCACCGTCCAACGACATAGGCTGGCTGTCGAGCATATAATGAAAGAATCAAACTTCAAAGATTTGCGTCAAACGTCATGCTCCCGTCGCACTCACTTGAAATGTTCTCGATACTTGAGTTCGACAGAGCAGAGGGACGACGTTTTACGCAGGCGTGTATAGTAATAAGCTGTTGACTGAGATCTTGAAATCATCCAACATCGTAGATCTGTCACAATGTCCGAACCACGTCACAACGCCGTCCTCTACCCATTAGAACATGGTCATTACTCAATTTCATGCCACTTCTAATTTGAAGTGATTTCCGCAAAATAAATTGGAATATTTACCTCTTTGTCCCAGATATGCCCAGTGGCTGATCACTTTCAAATGATGGAAAGAATCGGCGCGCGTGATACCACTGCACACAGACGTGGTGCATTTCGGTTTCTATACAGAGAATGATACTTACCATGGACAGCACGCAGCGAGACTGTGGCTAGACTGCAGCATTATGAACAAGATTTACCGCGGGCGAGCACTTTTGAGGAAATTTTCCCGTCTGCTGGGGGGGGGGGTAAAACAAGGAAAAAGAGCAGAACGTGTCGGGGGAATCTTGAGTTTTTATCGGTTAACTGACTGGAGGTATACGCTATAAGTCGCAGTGGTACAGTATGCACGCAGCCAGCACAGAGATTCTCAGAAGTATGTAAAGGTGAAACACAATATTAAACGTGAAGAGATATTCGAAAAATCTTCATGTCAAACAGTTTTTCGGCTTCTGCATCAAGTTGCATGGGAAGTTGGATCATAGTCGCCGGCGAAGCATAATGCCAGTGGCGGTTGGACTTGCCGAGGACCATTCAGATAATGGAATTGCCAAAGCAAAAAATACATTGCCCGTGGAGAAAATGAGATTTAAATGTGATTTTCATGAGGCAACGGACACTGACTAAACATTACAGTAAACTTGTGGCAAATTGTAGTGTCACTTTGTCTTAACTAAGTGTTGTAGAACTTCAGCATCTTTGGATTTAGACCGGAGTGTGACAAATTGACTTTTTATGAAGTCACGAAAGGCAGTTTAAAGAAGGAAATATTGCACATAAACACATTCCAATAATTAATCTGACCGGTATATCATTTTAATCTCTAATGACAAATAATGGCCGTGGCAAAAGCGAAAGATAATTGGTATAAGCTGTCTTAAACTCCTTTCATTGCCCCAAAATCACAGCGTTGCCTGTAATGAGAGCACCATAACATAAACGACTTTTTAAAGATCAGTTTAAATATCTAAAGGAGCAATTATAAATAAAAAAAAATCCAATTAACATATACCTTTAAGAACAACTGAAGGTACATTTTAAAGCTTAATTTTGTTTCCGTTTTACTAGAAGGAATTGGCAACTTTGATCTAACCGCGACTTTCTTCTATAATCTGTTGTAGGCTTAAAAATGACATGATCTGAAATCATTATGAGATTTAATCTTCTCAGGAGGATAAAAAATTAAAAAGCCAAATCAAGTCACAATTCATTTTCAGTTTGGTTAATTAGGCGACTTACCAAAAAATTCCAAAACCAAGTTTCGAATACAAAGCATTTCCCCGGAGTCGTCTCGTAAGCTATTCCACACATAAAGGGATTTTGCATTTTCAACATGGAAAAAACTCGAATTTTATAATCTTGAAAATTCTATTGCATTATAATGGATTTATACTAAAGCTCAAAAGCCAGTTTCGATAGGAACTTTCGCGTTGCCAACTGAAAATGATTTCTAGAACGATCATCACAAAAGGGCTGCACAAATCCTTCTCTGTGTTTCAAAAACCATTGTGAACAGAAATTATTCGACACTATACGTAAACCGTATACAATGTTTCAAGCCTAATATGAGACTCGTCTGTCCATTGGCGGCAGATGGACGCTTCCGTATCTTCATCCGACGCGCATTATAATAAATGTAGGCAGGCCCTAACAGAACGATGTGTCCTTTTCCCATTGGTGTGAGGACCAAAACCTTTCGAACACTATGGAACTAAGCTGTCGATTCAGAGCAGTACTTAGGGAAACTCGTTGTTAGTGTAACATCCTTTTGGGGTGAGGCGCACTCGTCTCTTTTTTAGACATCGGTTTAAAATTGTCCAAACTTTGCTGGACAACCAGGGGCGCTGTTGCTACGATACTATTTTGGGAAGACTGTTCAGTTTACAGGCTGTTTGTTCAAATTGTGAACCCTGAACATGCTCAAAGAAAACATGTCTTAAAAAGGGTCGCTCGTTGGCTTTTTGCCATGTCTTTACACGACAATAAAGTACTACAGAAATGAAATTAGGACAGCAAAGTATATAAAATTCTGGCCATTGTTTGTACACATATCAATGCAAGTTCGATGTTTTCATACTGGAATGACATAAGAATTTTTCTTGTGAAAAATGTGCAAACTCAAACTCGCCGACAAATATTTCAAGGTTTATTAAAAAAACAACAACACAGACTGCAACGCGAGCAGCCTTTAAGGCACCGAGCACACTGTGTATAGACTACACAGAGGCAGCTCCTTAATATATGAAGACAGAGCTGCAGACGAAAATGGTTTCCATCATGCTAATTCCGAACTAGCTCGACACGCTAGAAACGCATTTCTCTCTCCCGCTTGATTGATGTGCGCCCTCAGACGCAGCAAACACTACCGCTTCATAAACCAAACTTGTAAGCCACTACTAAAAAACATTAGCTTCACCGCACCGAAGAGCGCGCCAGGGGAAACTCGGAGATTAATGACCGCATTCGCCGCGCTTGTTCACACAGACTGGCTTCCGAAACTGTCTTTTTCACCTAAAAACAAGCTGTCAGCTGTGCAAGTGGCCCTACTTTGAAGATCCTGCTTAACTGAGGCCAGGTGAAATTTATAGCCGTTTCTAATCAGCCGTGGCAACTGCTTTAGACCGGAGAAATCCATCTGATCGCGGGTGGATATGGCGGAATGGAGTTCGAGACACAACTAAAGTGTTTCAAAAGGTAAAGCTACGGTAATGGTGATCTGAAACTATGCACCTTTTCCTCAAAAAGATGAAAAAATAACCAACTTCATAGGTGGACAGAGGTGAATAAGCTCACAGTGGTGATAAGATTCGTAATTAAGCACACCCAATGGTCATTTCAGGTTAAGCTGTACGTATGTTATTTCAGCTTATAATCTGTATGTCAAGTTGGTAACCATGTATCTACAAACAGCCCCTTTGGTTTATGTTCATAACTTGCCTTTGATATCAACAATTATGTTGCCTCTGTTTCAAGTGTGTCGAGACAATGTAATGTATGGTTTAATACTAATGAATTCCGCATAATTTTGCACAGATTCATGTCAAGAGCGAAAGATTATGTGCCGATAGACTTTTTGGCAAGCACCTGTACGTCCTTGAAGGGGGGAATATATTTCAATCATATCACCCGATCTTTCTGTGTCGATCAAAAGCTATGGTTACCGTACCAATGAAAAGCCGCTAGGAGCTTCACTCATCTACTTTTAAGTATACGACATATAAATAGTTTCACAAAACAACGTAAACTAGGGCGAGTCCGAATACAGGCGAATATACAAGCCGAATAATGTCAAATGCGTGTGGTTTTGACCATTGCACAAAGTCAACTTGAGTTAAGCTTGGATGTATGTTATACATTGCCTACTGACAAAGAGCATTCACTTGCACTTGGCGCTTCGTTCAAAACGTATACACACGTGAAAGAATTGCATGCATATAAGGTTGAATTTATCTTTGAACTGAAAGTACTAATGCAGTCAAGCAGAAATCGCGAATGGCGTCAAATATACTCAAGTTGACTCGACACGTGTCCCTACAAAACACAAGCAGATCGAGTACGATACATTACTGAAAACAAACGATGGTCAATGGTGAAATTTCATATATTTGAGTTAGATAACACCACTTTTTTTTTACCTCATAACCTTCTTCAATTCAACAGATAGCATGCATCCTTACATATAAATTAAAATATCTGCTGCGTATCGTTCAGATATAATTGAAATTAGATCTGTACAGCAACACATTTTGCCATTAAGTGGTCACGTTACATTTGGCGAATTGGAAACAACAAAATTGTCACATTAATGGCATGTCCTTGAATGACAACCGTCAAAAACAAACAGGTGTCCAATATCTAAGGTGGGAATACCACAGGAATTTGTTGATATTATATCCAACATGGAGCCTATCCATGAGGGCGTCGGAGATTAATCATGTCCCTTTGGATAGCAACAGTCACGCCGTCTCTCTTTTTCTTTAACCCACGAATACCCTAGAGTGGGTATACTGTCCCCTGTCGTTGTAACTTAGAATATGGAGGCGGGAACTAAGAGGTCGCCCAGGCCTTTCTGTTACTCAGGGGGGGGGGGTAACCTGAGCATCGAGCTCAAAGGAATTGCGTTACAAATATTGTGTCGTGTCTAGTCCCTGCTGGAACGCGCATCATGTTGTGCTGTTTTTGTCGCCACTGCGTTGCCGAGCAGAGATAAGGTTTAAAGAGTGATGCCAAGATGCCAACCCGTAATCCGTTTGCTCTGTCGGTCCAATTTGTAGATTTCCAATGAATTCCTCTGTTAAAATGTTACCGAGACAAACACTATTCAGTAGAGTTGTATTCCAAGACTGACTTTTTGTAACTCTCAATTTCCTTCACATTAGTGTCGTATGGATGGTCTGCTGTGCCGTGTCTCTCTCCATACCTGGTCGATGACTTCCCCGCTGCTTGGTAGTCATGTTGGTGTCGCAGTGCAGGATGGCCGCGTTGAAGGCACTCCGGTATCGCTGGTTAGTGACGTTATACACGACGGGGTTGATGGTGGAGTTGGCGTACAGGAGCATGCGGTTGATCCACAGGAACACCACACGTTGCTGAGGCGACAAGTAGCCGACACCAGTCAGGCTGGAGATCATCTCCAGCAGGACGTGGACCTGGGTGGAGACTTGGCAGAGAAAGAACGCCGTGCCGGTGGCGATCAGCATGGCGGAGACCTGTCTCCGGACGCTCTGGACGTGGTTGATGGCCTGGCTGCTGGCCGCGGCTTCGTCCGTGTTCACGATGAACCTACGCTTGAGCGTCAGGGTGATGCGGGAATACATGTAGACGTTGCCCGCCATGGCCACAAAGAAGGGAATCATGCGTGAAACCCGGGAGACCTGGGTGAACCAGGGTGCTATGGGCTTGCAGTCTCCAACTACCTCCGGGAAGCCCTGAAAGGCTTCTGTATCTGGCCAATCCACGCACACGGGCATTAGGACGATGAATGCCGGTACGTTGACTGCAGCCATGCTGGCGGCGATGACCCATGTAATAACCAACAGCTTGGCCGTCCGGGCCTTGCCGCTGGTCAGCCACTGCTTCAGGGGGCTGCATATGGCGAAGTAGCGCTCCAGAGAGACCAGCGTGACCAGTGCTATGGAGGCGAAGAAGAAGGTGTAGATGAGGAAGTTGAAGAGGATGCAGCCGGCGATCCCGGTTCGGTACTTGTCGAAATTGACCGGGGAGGAGTGGAACTGTAGCGAGCTGGCTACGGTGGCCGTCAGCAGGAACAGGATGTCAGAGACAGCCAGGTTGCACAGGTAGGCGTTGGTGATGGTCCGCATTCGGCGGATGCGAAACACGACGAAGAGAAAAGAGGCGTTGATGAGGCAGCCAATGGTACCGATGACCGGCAAAGCGAAAGTGATCAGACCCGAGGACGTGGCGTCGTATAGCAACCCTCTGGCCTCAAATTCGTTGGTCTTGTTCAGGACCGTCAGGTTCTGACAGGAAACTGACCCGCTTGACTCTGGATCCAAGACTTCCATTTCAAGTAGCCGAAAATCCAACTCACGCATAACGGCACATCGAGATCTTCACATTTGAATTCCTCTCAAAGAAGCCATTCGTAACACGCTTTGTGCATGAAGTGAAGCAATCCGATAAACGTACATATATTATAACATCATTTCCCTTCTACCAACGGATAACACGTTTGAAAGCAACAAACGGAAAGTGAAACTGCGATTATTCTAAATCAGCATGCGTACCGTGTCAACAGTGTTGTCTCTGACGTTATTAATGATTTGTTCTAAAATTGGCGTTGTATTTGTCAAGATAAGAATGTTGACTGCTCTCGCTGGAAATGTTCATTGGGGAACTAGGAGTACGCTGTCCTGCTGGGAGTTTATCGCCCTTCGGGCGAGAGCACAGACAGGGCTCGACGCAGCGCTCAGCGACCGTTTTACATCAACGCCAGGGATGGGAGAGTCGTGAATGTGGGTAATGACTCGCTTGATAATATTCAGCGCCTTCTCAAGCGAGCACTACGCTAAAACGACTTCACTGACACGAGCTCTTCAGCATCTGTCAATCTCCTAAGGGCCCTCGTCGAGAATCACATAGATTTGTCAGGCTCACCTGTACTTTGTGCGGACGAGGAGGAAAGAAAAGTTCCGGTTATAATCAACAGGATTCTCAGTACCGTTGAGTAGTTAATAGCTGTTCTGCTGGACGGAAATGCCAAACACGTATTTCGTGTGAATCTCAGCTTCATCAGAACAACGCCTGGTGTACAGGTGACGAGTCTATTTAAGAAGACCCACAATATTTTTCGTACTCACGGTCAGCCACACAATAAAATACGTGTATGGTTGATTGTAAATTCACACCTGTGTTTTTGCAGAGGAGGTTTTTTAAAAAAAATATTCATAGTTTTGATTTACGCTGACTTTCCCTTGATGAGCATAAAGATGGCACAGTCCAGTGCTGTATCTAAAATACTCTGCACGTTTAGAGAACTTCTGAATCTGGGCGCAAAATCCTTGTAAGGCTTCAGTCGTGATCTTCAAATGAGGCAGCGCGTGAGTTGAACAGCGCGCTGACTCCCTTAAGCACTCAACGGCTGGTGATGTGCGAGTCTTTGACTAGCCGTCCAATGTCAACTTAAGTCGAGGTACAACCTCTTGATGCGACCACTACGATGAGTGGGGCACGATGGTACGAGATGTTCCAAGAGCGCCGGCGTCACCGTCTGTGGACTTTGTCTCTTACTCCGGTGCGACGGGAAATCATCCGTCTCCGGTAGTCTGGACCGTAATTATCTCTCCCTTTTGATGTGTTCTGCTGGGCCGTTTGCCCCCTAAGTTTCAGTCAACTACAGACGTCGACGTAATTGTAAACACGCTACACTATCTTCCTCCAGTTGAAATATCAATATTTATCTGGAGCAAGTTACTTTAAAATATTTAATACCATGTCCATGTCTAATGACATTTTATGGATTTTTTTTTAGGTTGGCAAGTGCATTAACCCAGAGCGGGGGTGGAATCCGGTATCTCGGCAGTGTATTTTTTTTAGGAGCTGAGCCTTTAGGAGTTGTTAGAGGAACTCTTTGTGGTCATTTAGAAACAATTTCGAAAACTGAACCTACTATTTTTGTGCAGTGCCGGGCCAATTTTTCCGACACGGGTCAGCAAAAGTTGTGTGCTTTTTCTACTGTGGTACTCAATGCACGCAGGCTGGCACGCGTCTAAGCTTTGAACTTCAAATGACTGCAACATCAAAAACAGCACATCAGTCACGTGATTGACTTCAAACTTCACGTTTGTAATGAAAGGGAGCATCTTTGCATGCTTGCCAAGTTTCAAAAAAATCGAGGGCGGCACAGCCGAGTTCTTGTGGGGGCATCTCTTTTAGGGTTAAATGAACTTTTTTCAAAAATCTGTAAAGTAATTCCAGTGACCATCTACCACCGGTTATTTTACGCGTTTAAAAAGTGATTAATAGATCTGGAAACAGCCGAAAAGCTTTGGACTGTGATGGGTGTGTTGGATATCTACATGATTTCGCAATTGAAAACTCTCTTTACTGTCGATTTTATAGGTGAGACAATTCTTTTCGAAGCAATACAAATTCTTTGGAAACAAATTACGACCCAATTTACAACGCTCGCTGTAACGAATTCCGCGCTAACATTTAGCGCAGATAAGCCAAGTGGTCGCTCCATACGCTGCTTCTTTTAGAAATCTGACCGATTTCCTCAAAGATGCGGCGGTTCAACTGCGTTCTTGTTGGGTACAACGTCACGGACCGACTAACGTCGTTTGAGTAACTGCTCGTTTGGCCTTCGATTCTTCCTCTGAAGCACTATTGTTACTTCAGCACAAACAATTTTTGATACTTTTAACAGTGACCAATTCTCTTTTATTCCTTCTTAAGGACATTGTCGCAATCTGAACAGAAAAATGCTACAATGAACAGTGTCTCCAGGGTAACATCACAGTAACAGCACCATCACTAGTCACGTTTTCAGCATCGAAAATTTTGAATTGTTTGAAACTTGCACATGAATAGACTAAATTTTAAAAGGATTGTCAAATAGGTTTTATACAACACATGTAAAAGCCGCATTTGCCGTCTAAACAAATTGATCCGCGTTGTTACGTGGAAGACACGAGAAGAACTTTGTTCGACTCAAACACCTTTCTTTCGGGACGTTTAATACAGTATTCAAGTCCAAGCCCTGTATCAAAATCTCATAAACGCATGAAAGTGCGTGATGCAGTGAAAATAAACATACATGCAACACTTTGAATAATCTACGTTTCTTTGTACGCAGCAACGGTCACAGCATGACGATTACAAACTCTGGTCAGCAAGAAAAGAATTCAAGATAAGATATCTTTCGATATTCGGATACTCAGTGAGGTGATTATTGTTAAGGAGTGGTGCAAAATCCCCTTCCATCTGATTACCATGGGTTTTGCAACAGGCTATTCAACGGGGAAAGGGGGCCTTCATCCGTCTCTTAACCTGAACACACTCCCCGTCTTATGCCTATAGTTTTCGCCGGACCTGCCTGAGTATAATACATGTGCAGTGAAGAGCCTTAGGCTCAGTCATTGGAAGGAATGAGTATCAAGTTACGCACGGTACATTTCTCATTTCAGCGTTCTTTAACGAACACTTTGGTGCTATGGCCATCTGCACCCTTCGGGCACCTGCTCTGCATGCCCGCACCCATTGCTCCTGAGTATCAGTAAACCGACCAAGTGTCCTCCATATTTGCAGAGTTAACATGATCACCGACAGGGGTTTGAACTCTTGGGTAGAAAGTATTATCCGTTATACACCGTTAAATACCGGACCATGATTGATGGTGTTGCTTGATGTAGAAACGTCTCGGGCCAATTGATTACGTCAAGCCATTTTTCGTACATTTCATGCAATGAAGCAACTTTGCAGTGTTTGTGCCCATTCTTGGCAGACGATGACATGAAATTAAACAGGGAGAACCAATCAGAAACCGGACATGACTCGACATGACTTGTTAATTACTTACAGAAATATTTCGGGTTAACATTTGTAATGAGATCCCCCAAAATAACACCATGGGAAATGATTTGCTTTCCAAATGCATTTCAAAACACACTCATTATTTTTCATTTGGCATGAACAAACAGTACATGATCAAACAAAAATTATACTGACTTCCACTGTACAAGATAACAAGGGCCTGTAAAAGTAGCCCAAGCAACTCGTGACTAATTCTGTAAAGCTGGGTCACATTTGCTTGAAGGTACCCCAATGATTGATGACCAATTTTGTAAATCTGGGTCACATTTGCTTAGAAAAATTGTGTGCTTAGCAGATCCAAGAAACTGCCTCCAAGCCTCGGGAAGCTCACAGCTGTTTTGCTCGTTGTGCGTACTCGAGTTGATGAGTTTGGGCTCATGAGGCAACCTCCCCGGGGCTCTGTTCCTTCACGTCAGATTATCGGACCCTCTTCATGGGCGGGCCAAAGTGTTCCATTGTCTGAATAGTCAGGTTTAAGTAGTCCATGAATGATCCTACGGCCACTCTCAGTAGCCGGGCCTCTGTTGCTGTAAACCTCCTGGAAGCAAAAAAAAAAACTTTAAATTTATTTATTGTATATACTTGTCATAACTGAAAGCAATAGAAACAACATTTTTTTACAACCTGCCAATTAAGAAACTTCTTATTTAGAAGTAAATGTACAAAGTTGCAACCAACCGTCTCAAAACGTTGGTAAGAGCATTTCTTTAATTTGCATTATTCAGCTTTTACCCCGAATCAGAGTACATGTAGTCTGTAGTGGAAACATAGTACAGACTTGTGTGTGATTTTATTTTAGAGAGCTGTTAATACAAACTTTGAGAAAAAACTGAAATATTTGAATTTCCAAACTATGTTCTGACCAGGCTTCATTTACTTACGCTTTTAATGTATTTTCATGAAGCTGTAGTTCCTTTGTAACTTCTTTCCTGGGTTCCTTGTCAACCTTCAGGGTATTGTAGGCGATCTCAGCCTCCTTGGCTGAAGGGAACGGTATGCTCAAGTCACTGTGCAGGACAAACCAAACAAGGACACTAATGTCTAAGAAGCACAGCAAGAGACCCACTAATGAAAAGGCTTGCCCAAAATGACTCCTTCGGGGGCAATCTCTTTTTTGTTTAAAGATGCATCTACATTCCAACGATTCATTCATTTTTTAAAACAATTTTCATGAGGTGTGTATCTGTCCAAATATACAGTACATTTGCAAGATTACGGATGGCCCAAACAGTGGAGTTCCCAAATTCTTAAGGAATCATTTATGGATCAACCGTGGCTTTTTGTTTTGTTTTTTGTTTCTTTGCAAAGATTTGTTTGAGGGAGAGGAATTCTAGCGTTTAATGCAAGGAAGCTGAAAATGGTATAAAACGTTACTTCCTCTAGTCATGCTATATGTAGTTTCTGGGCCAAGTTTATAGAAGTTTGCCTATTATTGAGAAGGTCTGGGCCTGAAGATGCGTGCAATTGTAAAGTCATGTCATGTACATATGTGCATTGCTCATCATGCTCCTTTCAAAATTCTAATTGCCTGGCAATGGCATACTATTCATCATCATGCATGGCTCATTGTCTGGCTAATTTTCTTGTCTGGGTGAGCACTGCCCATGTTTGGCTGCGCTTAGCCCCACTAGTGTGGCACGGACTCTCACTCCCGATCCATCCTTAGCCACACATCCGTATGCGCAATTTCGTGTCGGCAAACTGAACATTTTCGGCGCACCCACTTATCATCATGGGCAATTTCGTTTGCACACGAACATGATTCTTGACCTTTCCGTTTTCTAAATACCATTTATTGAATGATTTCACTCATGTTATTCAGGTATTTTCCAGTCTTTTCGCCTTTATCCATTCAATCTAACGGGCTCGCTCTCTCAGTCGCCATCTTTAAAATAAGATCGTTGAACAATACGTAACTTGACCCCTCATCTTCTCAAGGCTGTTCCATGTCAGGACATGTAATAAACAGACTGATAAACAGACTGATAAACGGACTACATGTACCAATGGACTTTTCCAAAACTTTGGCAGCAGTTTAGATGTCTTGACATGGAACAGCCATCGAGACGATGAGGGGTCAAGTAATGTAATGCTCAACGACCTTATTTTAAAGATGGCGCCTGTGAGAGTGAGCCCGTTAGATTGAATGGATAAAGGCAAAAAGACTGGAAAATACCTGAATAACGTGAGTGAAATCATTCAATAAATGGTATTTAGAAAACGGAAAGGTCAAGAATCATGTTTGTGTGAAAAAGAAATTGCACCACGATTACAAGTGGGTGTGCCGAAAATGTTCAGTGCGCCGACACGAAATTAGGCATACGGATGTTTGGCTAAGGATAGATCAGGAGTGAGAGTCCGTGCAACACTGCGCTGCTCATCTCATGCAATTATTATTATTATTATTATTTATTCATGCCAAAAATTCAATATACATCACAAGCAAGATCGGGCATAGGGGAGACAAAAGTAACACGGAATCACTGTGGTCGTACCACCACTAGCCTAGGCCTATGTACGGAGCAAAGTTAAGCAGTGTTTGACCAGCAGAGTTAATAAAGTACCCCTGCGAAGTTCTTTGTTCAGTTTAAACCCGGGAGGATAAACTGAAAATCTACGTAGGTCTACTTTCTTTTTTCCTACCATTCATGTTTTCCTCTGTCCATGGAGGCTGCCATGTTGCCTACATGGTTCCCGACGAAGCACTCCCAAATACACGTACATAATCTGACCATATGGGAACCTGCGAAATTATCGATTACCAGCACAAGGTGGCGCCCTATCAATTCGGCATTAGGGCCCTTTTCCAATACTCGACTTGGGCTCCGGGAGGCTTCGTTCCCAAAAGCAATCCCCGATTGTGGGCCTGAAACGTTTAAATCAAATTAGATTACTGTAATTTCTGGCTCTCTTGCATCTTATTATATGTTTTGTAGAACTATTAGGCTAATTACTGCGCTTACAACTTCAATGTCAGCTAGTTAAAAAACAGTTGAATCTGAGACGGAGCGGAAGTTGAGTATTGGAAAACGGCCTAGGGTAGGGTTGCAGGCCAGTGAGTAAAGTGTCATAGCCAATAGTGATGAATACATGTACCTGAACTTCAAATATTCAGGACAAATACTCACGAGTGTCTCAGGCGTTCAAGATGCACATTAAATTAAAGCCCAGTTTATGATTTTCCTTTTCAAATTTCTGTTATTTCACAGAGGGTCACCCCTAAATACAGTCGTGAAGCCCCTCACCATTTTAAATACTGATGCCTTCACTTCTCGAAAAATGGACCGTTTTCAGGCCTTGATTTCTTCCCAATCTCACTCAGACACAGGCTGGTATTCTCTTTGCCGCCCAAACCTGTCTTTTCTACAAATCCTCTAGTTCATGGGTCAGAATTTGGGTGCATACAAATTGTGATTTGGTCCGTGCAAGCAGCTTTAACTTCGGCCTATTTACTGGCCTGCAACCTTAAAGGGTACAGACCAGAAAATAAAGCTGCAATAGACAACAGTGATAAATATCCCTTCTTCAAAAAATCAGGACAAATACTCGCCAGTTTCTCGGGTGTTCAAGACAAATATCAAATTAAAGCTTAATTTCCCATCTTTCACTTTCTTCTCAATTTTCAGTGGCTTTACCCATGACTTTTGAAAATATTTTTCTCCCGAGAAAATCAACGACTGCCCATTGCCATTTTTGAAAATTGGAGCCTACACTCTACTGCCAAATTTGGAGGGCGCCGTTTGGTCCAACACCTTCAGAATACAAACTGGCAATCCTGCTCCTAAATTCCATCCTCCTTCTGAACAAACCACCAGTACACGTGGCATGAAATTTTCTAATACCAGAGAATTTGAACAGCCTACAAATCATGATTCAGTCCCGGCAAAAGCAATTTTAGACCTATTTTCTGGCTTGCAACCTTAGGAACGAGAAAGAGCAAGTCAAAGCTTGTTGGTATTGTCTTCTCCGATGAACTTATGAAACAATCAGGGGCGGATCCAGGATTTTTCACGGGGGGAGGGGTGATCGCGGACTTTCCAAGGGAGGGGGAAGAGTGAACTAAAGCAGTCATGGTAAATGCCCTTGGAGTGGGGTCCGAGACCATTTTGGATTCTACACGCTTTTACGAGCACATTAGTGGATGCGATCATTCTTTCAGCAAACGACTCCCAGTTGCTGAGTGCACTGAAGATAGTGTCACCGTCATGTGACCATAAGCTTCGCACTCCCTTGGAGTGTGAGCTTACAGGTAAGCCTACAGTTTGATCACCATCGCAGAAGTTTCAGAGCAATAAAGCATCAGACATACCCTAAATGTGTAAACTGAAGTGGTATGGGTGTGGCATAGCCAAGGTTTAGTTTCTGGGATACATCAGAGATGGTTCTTTTTCTGTCGAGGCCGAAACAAGCTTGAGGCACGTTTTAGTCAAACACATTTAATTGCAATGACCACCAATTTATACAATACCACTCTACTGAAACAACAAAACATCTACAACTAGAGAATTATTGATTTGTTCTACACAAATTTCAGAAAAGGCACTGCATTATCAGACACGTTCAACAGCATAAGAAAAACCCCTGATACATCACTGCAGCAGATTCTTCCTGGAAATAATAACATGTCTATATCTTCTATACCATTTCGCAATATAAAAACAAGGGTAGTATATACATCACAATCTACCCAATGTACATGCTTTTCCGAGAAATGTGCAAAGCTATGGATGATTACGGATTCACGTGTGTTAAATGTGTTAAACTCAGCAACTTCACACCTATGGAAACTGTTATACGATGTTGGAATGTGATTTAAGCTACATGTACCTGTACAGAAACTTTTAGAATGTTACCTCCAACAGTTACTTTCCAATTCCCCAATACATTTTCTACAGGGATAACCATTACTGAGTAAAATGCACGTACAAATACATAAACATTACAGTCTATGAGGAAAGTAAAACTGACCCATGCCGAAAATACAGATCAGGCTCTATCCACTTACAGGCAGTGCTGTAACTTTAAAACAGCGCCCTCATGGGTTCGTTATGGAACAGTTTTAGGCTCCTCTTTTAGAGATTGGAAAGGCAGTTCAGACTTGTGGTGTAAATAAAAGCTAATCATAATTACAGTTTCGTGCCCAGAAACTCTAAGACTCTTCCAATTTACAAACTTTAAAGAATTCTGCAGAACTAAGGAGGGCAGCCAGAAACACTGCATTATTTGTTTCTTGTGGATGATTCAGTCTACATAGTTCCTCATAAAATGCATTAGAATTTGGGTTAACATGCTTGAAATGGATAGTTCATCTAACGACTAGAATCATGCTGTGTTTTGTATGGAGGAAATGGCATGGAACAATGGCTCCATACAGTAGTCGATACAGAGTATGAGGAATTCATAAGTGGTCATCAAGATACTATCTGGAAAGGGAAATTTCACAGTGCAATGTGGAAAACGGATGACACCCGTTATCATTTTGGATAATTTGGATATAATTTTTAGGATATTAAGTGCAATTGTTCAAACACGACTGAATTGGGACTTTTTTCAAAAGGCATAATGATGCATGTACACATACGGACTTGGATCCAAAAGGCTGTTTTGTTTGAAGACACACAAGGACAATGGCATGAGCATTAACCACAGGAACATGCAAGATATCAACCTGGCACTTGAAAAGTACAAGATGTATATGGCCTCTTCGTAGAGGTGAAAGGTGCCCTGAAATCGCTACCATGGGGTGGCACTCTCTATTCCAAATGTGCAATCAGAGCAAGCAATGCACACAGGCACAGCAAGTACCCCAGTAAAATCTAAGACTCTTAATTATGACATTCTACCTAGATGCTGGCATGACTGTGACCTTGTAGGATCATTCCGGTGACAGTCATCTTATAGTAACACCACAATTATGAAGTGCCTCTCACAGGACATCACCCTTGGCTAGTAGAGTGGAGGGCTGCCACCAGGCTGGTTCTGGGTTGGCTGTAAGTACTGCACCTGAGCAGCAGCGACTGGGGAGAAAATGTAACACAAGGCACTATAAGCACTACAGATGTGATGGTCATGCAGAGTACCGTCACTGGTCCAACCAGTCATGGGGCCTGACGTGAGGCACACCTGGCACATCTAGCAAGTGCAAAGTACTGGGATAAGGAGAATTTTACACCAGAATGAACCAGTTTGGCATTTCAAAAAAGGCTACGTCATTCGAGAACAATACATAAGTTCACTGATAGGGCCTTACTGATAGAGCAGATGCCACAAGCACATCATTACTGCTCCAGAACAATCTTGGTCATGCTTCTCTTCAGTCATGCTTCTCTTCAGTCATGCGTCAGTTGCTGGAATTCCAAACTGGCTTACTGCATAGAGTAGAGCTACGTCTACACATTACCCACCATCTGCCATTTCATGGCTAAATGCGTGGCAGACCCAAACAGACTTCATTCCAAACTAGGACGCGCTTGAAAAAATTAACCATCAGTGGAAAGTCTCCCTCAAGGTTTCAGCCAGAAGTGTTTGTGTGTGTCTGTGAGCGATTTTGGATAACCAACACTGCCGGGCACAAAAAAACCCAACTAGAAAAAAAAATCAGTATCACACAAGCCTACAGCCTTCTGGGGTGTTTCAATCGGGTGGTACACGATGATGGGGGGTGGTGGTTAGGGTTGGGGGACAAGGGTTTTAGGCACTAACCGTTCTGCTTAGGCTTGCTCTCTTTCTGCACACAGCTCCGCCCAGTCCCTGGCTTGGGCTCCACCTCCTCTTGCTTACCCATCTTCCTGGAGCTGATAGCCTGAGAGATCTTGTTGCCAACATAGGCACAAGCTGAACGTGGACAAATGGAAACCAGAAATGGGGATAAAAGATTAAAACTTTATTTTTCTAATTCAAAGCATATACATTTTGTTGTGAACCAGTCCCACATCCGGATGTTTCCACTTTAAAGCCAGTCAAAAAGCCACACACATGTACATGTAGGCATAACGCACAGTAACTCCAAGAGTTTACAATCTACATGTAGCACGGCATGGTGGGCTAGCAAGTATGTTTCATAATCAGTTCATTGTAAGCGCTCAGGGATCAAACCCCCCCATCCAACTAACATGACTAATACAAGGATTTTTTTGTCTTCCTGAGTTAACTTTTTCCCTCAAAATATTCCAAAGATTTCTTTTATTGTTTCAAATCAAATCCTACTTTATTTCACTTTTCCTGATTTACATTGCTTTGAAGTATTAAATTCTGCAATTGCAGTACATGTACAGTGGGCCCTAGGTCCAAATCCCTTTTCATGAATACTTAGCTGTTCACGGTGCTGTATGATCTTTGGTCACAACAGTCAATGTAACCTAAGCACAGAACAGCAGGAATGATTTGTTCCAAACCCACCCCTCAAAAATGTGCAGAAAACACTTGAGAGTTGTGCACTGTTGTGTCGTTAAAACAGCATGACAGACCAGTTCACGGTTGAGAAACTTCAAGTTCTAGGTTGAGAAATTGTCATCAGAAACTTGCTGACTATCCGACAGTGGCTCAACTAAGCTACATGTAGGGCTAGATGTCCGGGGGGGCCAACTGGGGGTGCACAATTTTTTTCAAGTTAAGGGGGCACAAGAAAATAAGAGGAAGAGTCTCATGATATATATACCGACAACACTTGATGCCCATGTGCACAAATCTACGAGACTCGCTTGAGAAAAAAGTGTTCTCTAAGTAAATGCATTGAAATTTTCTTAGCTAAATTTCACTTTTTAGGACGTTATGACTTTTTAACAGGTATTATAACATTTTAGGGAAAATTTGTGATGTCTGTACGGTATAGGCCTAGGCCTG